AGCCTTTGTTTCTGTGCCATGAACCCTGCATGGGCTCCTGGTGGCCATCCAAACTTGATAAGGACCATCTTAGTACTAATAATAAGCACGACCATATGACTTGTTTTGATAAAGTGTACAAGAGGAGGGGTCTGAAACATGTAATAAAGTAAGAGGGGCTGGGTGGAGGGAATATTATATATATACGTGGGAGCTGGGATTAAAAGTTGGGCAGACTTTCAGTTAGATGGTTGGGCTGTCTGGGAGACAGAAACACTCTCTAAGTGGTTTCTAGCATACTGTATACCAGAATTCATCCTTTTCTGAATAAATTCCCTCTATGAACCACATACATATTTCCATGAACCAAATGAAAATCTGGAATTCCTTCACTGTTACCATGAACCACATATATCTTTCTAGCTTCTGTTTCTCAAAACTTTCCACCATTTTTCTCTGAACAACACAATTTCTTTCACTTTGAGATAGAAGAAAACTAAATGGCAACACCAAATACAAACTTATTATAATAACACAAGCAATAGACACTTCACTGTTTAACTTTTTTGTAGTGAAAGATTGTGGCTCTTGTACTGCAAAGAAGAAAAGTCTGGCTCAGAGTACGAGTGGGACAATTTTTTTTATGAGGGTGATAACATATTTGATGACGTTGATGGAAGTGAAGTGCGTCTGGATCCGGAGGATTTCCGAGATTCAAATGATAAAGGTTTGGCATTAAATAGTTGATTTTAAAATTCTAATATTGTATTATCATTTAATACTTCAATCCAATTTTTTCCCATGGTTGAAATAGGTGGATCTTTTACTTATAATATGAATACTGCATTTGGAAAAAGGAGAGTGAGAATTATTGTTGATGATGATAGTCATAATGAAATAGAGTTTTATCAGACAATTGTTAGAGAGAGTAATGGTAAGAGGATGATTTTAATAATTACTACCTCCATCCCAATTTGATGGTACCATTTCTCTCTCCTTTGGTCAACACAAATCACTCTTAATCTCTTACTTTATGTATTAAATTTTAATCAAATTTAATCCAGGTGTTTGCGACTTTGTAAAGTTTTTAATATAGTTTCTGAATATGTTTTTTTTCTAAAAATAATTTGAGTGCGAACAGGGATCCATTTGCTTTATCGTCAGTCAAACTTCGTCAACCGCAATGGTATCATCAAATTGGGACGGAGGTAGTATTTTTATTTATAGTTATTTTTGCTTAATTGGTTTAATACTTCAAACCATTTTTTGGCTTATACGGTAATGGGATAGGAAAAGAGAGGCAAAAGTATTTTGGATGATGCTAGTGAGTTGGAGGTAGATCCGACATTTTCCCAATATCCAATTGGTAAAATTTTCATTTATAATAAATGGCTTATATTTATTTTTTTTCTCTTACTCTTTTAGTAATTCAGTCTTTGTTTTGTTTGAAGGTGGTGACTCTTGTACTAACAAAAAGAAAACTTTGCCAGAAAGTATGAGCGGGACAAAAGTTCGTGATTGTGGTGAAACTGAAGTGGATGTAGAACAGACAATTCTAAAAGATCTCAATGGTAACAAGTGACACCCTTTGCAACTCATATATTCAAAAAACAAGCTTTGCTTCTCATCTCTAGCCATATCCCAGGACCCAGATGTACTACATTCAGTGTTTTCCAGATTTAGTGAGTAAAAAGTTAAACTATCTGAAAGGATAGTAAATGATTAATGACACATAAAATGTGAGGGAGCATATGTTCTATAATCCAATGCAATAGAGTACATAAAAACTAGTATTGTTGCAGGCTTGCAGCTCTTTAGTTTTCAGAAGTAACCAGAATTGATAATTGATGTCAATCAATTGTACTTCTCTATTGTAAGTTAATATCGTGTGGTAGAATTGTCCTGCAAGGAATGACATCTCACACCAGCCCTCATTTGATAGTGTTAAGTGTTAAAAATGCATTGATGATGAATTTAAGTGTTAAAATTGCCTCACTTTCTCCATGTTTGTGTCTTGTTTATCTTTTTGTTAGACTTCTTTATCTTTTGATAGCAAGATAGCTCTGTTTTAGTGTGAACATAGAAGATTTGCATAAACACATGTGAAACAGATCTAGCTCAGCAAAAAATTCAAGGGCTGCCTAGTTCCTTTTGATTTTCTAACAGCCCACTCGCCCAATAATAATTTAAAGATACTAATTACATATCTTGAAGCAACTAAAAGGGCTCACAGACTGTAGTTAAATGAAGAGTCTTAGGCACTATCTGATTTTCTATCTGCAGTAACTTTGTTGGGAATAACTCTGGTTTTCTATCTGCAGTTCCATTCTGATTTCTTGTTTATGGTCGTTATTTTTTGCAGGAAGAAACATGTGAAACCATGGAAAAAGATCCTTCACTTTATAATGTTGAGGTATATTTTCCTATTTCTCCATTTCTGCCTAGCATATCGATTTCGAAAGTTGGACATTGTAAGCATTTTTTAGTGTTGCAGCCACAATTCATGTTGTGTGATATTCAGCTTGTATTCTTCTCATATATAGGTAGCACAAAAGGTTTTTAAGTCCAAATCTCAAGATCGGAGTGCGGGGTTTTAATAATATATTCAAGTAAGAATTAATCACTCTTTATTGTTGAATATATCATCGTTTATTGTGACTTATGCTATTGGGAAATATATATAATTTTATTTAAGAAGCATATTATTTCTCTTTCAATTTGAGAAATGAGCAATCCAGCCGAAACAACATTTAAGATGAATATAGCCATTATTTATTTGCTCACTTAGAATGAAGATCAATAAGAATAATGGGTAGAAATGCTTTATTTATTCCTGGTCATGGGACGGCAGGGAGTAGGTCTTGATTCATACGTAGTATGTATTTGTTAATTCATTTCTGGTTTACACGACTATTGGCAGCAAAGCAGAAAAAGTATTTATACTCCATTTTGTTAGAAAATCTGAATTCTATGCTCTTTTTGTAGGTATTAAAGATGAGAACTGCAGTTGCAGCGCAGCAATGTCATTGAGCTACTACATACTCAATTTTGATTTAGTACTCACTTTTTCATATAGTTAATGATACATATGTATTTTTACAATTACATATTGAGATTTTATTTTATTTATGTGGATGATGATTATATTGTATCAACTTACAATAGTTGTTATATTTACAAGATATAACAACTATTTTATTTTATTTATGAGTTGTTGAACGCACAAGTAACTTATTTCATTTAGTTCTAATCAATAATAAACTATTACATCAATATTATATGATTTTTAAAACTAAATATGCAGTTCTCAAACGGGTATTTAGTAGAGGTTGTGATTGCTATTATAAAATGTTGTCATCATTGGATAATTAATAATGTTAAAATTCTTGCAAAAAAAAAATGTTAAAAGATGTATACAAATAATGACGGTTATACATATTGTATTTCTAGATAACAATGAACAATTATATTATCGTCATTATCTAACGACGAGTGAGTTTCTTGTCGTTAATAAGTAACGACGATATCCTATGTCATCGTTAATTATTAACGATGAACTTTGTTGTTAATATGTAACGACGATATCAAGTGTCGTCGTTAATTATTAACGACGAACTTTGTCGTTAAAACCAATAACGACGGAGGCTATAACAACCACTTGACGACGAAAATAAAGTGGTCGTTAAAAGCTTTAACGACCAACTTTTGAGCCTATAACTACAATATTTTTCATTGTTAAAGTCTTTTTTCTAGTAGTGCTAATCGCAGTAAACTTAACTACAAGAGCAAAGATTTCAGCATAATCAACACCTTCCTTTTGAGTAAGTCCCTTAGATACTAACCTAGCCTTATATCTAATGTCATTAGGCTCATCCTTAACCATAAATAGCCACTTACAGGCAACAACGGAACCATTGGGCGGTCTAGGAACTAACGTCGAAGTCTTATTCGCTCTAAGTGACTCCATCTCACTTTCCATGGCGCAAAGTCATTTAGCGGACTCATTAGACTTAAAGGCCTCTCTATAGGTTCTAGGTTCGTTAAGCTCAAGGGTCTCAAACACAGAGAAAGCAAACATAGAAGTATCACACATATGGAAAGCATAATCAGGCATACTATCAGCAGTTCTCCTAATTACTCTCCTACTTCTATCTCTAACAAGTTGATAATCATGCAAATCGTTCTCACTAGAATCCGCACTCTCATCATGCGATTCATTGTCATTTGAATGCACATGAGAATGCTCCACCTCACTCGAAGTGGTGGTGGTATCATGCTCAAAAAGAATCGAAATCATGCAATCCAGAAGAATCAGAATCATGCAAAACAACATTATCATGATTAGCAAGCAGTTTCATTCATTTCATCGCGCTTAGCAGCATCCTCAGAGTCTAAATAGAGACCAGTCACAGATCTATAAACTTTCTGTTGGATCAACACGCATTTGATTTTCTGTTTCCAGATATCAAAATTTGTCTTTCCGTTAAATGGAAGCATGCCATATTGATTGACAGCCATATTAACCGGAAAGCAAGCACAACACGCAAGAGAGTAAATAAAAAATTATCAAGCAAAGAACAGTATGAAGCAACTAGCACGAACAAGCCAAAAGATTTGTTCGAGTTATTTTAGGAGAATGTGTTATTTTTAATACGCATTCTAATTATAATTCTTGTTCAATATTGAATATGACATCAATAGATTATTAATTGTATTTTGTAACATATTAATAATCGAATAAATATGTCGCTACTAACACCGATTTAGTATACTTCGTATTTTGTTAGTCTGTGATAATTTGTTGTATTGAGAGACATGCATGCTGATTTACCAATACCGTACCGTTACCGAACCGAAACTTCGGTATACCGAAACTTCGGTACGGTAACGGTATATAAATTTTGCATACCGAAAGTTTTAGTACAGTAAAGGCATGAGAGAAAATATTTGGTCTACCGTACCGAACCACCTCTAAGCAGATTACATCATGTAATGTAACCAGATTACATCATGTGAAAAGCAAACAATTACTGTTCATTCCCGAAGCAGGCACCTTAACAAAATACCTCCACAAATCACTAGCGGTGCACCGTTTTTCAGAAGGGAAGAAAAAACGACTTCCACAGTTCAAACTTCAAACAAGAATTCTCAGACGTTTCCGAGAGAGATGGGGAAGGAAGGGATAAGCAACAAGCAGGTTATACTGAAAGACTATGTCGCCGCCGGATATCCAAAAGAGTCCGACATGGAACTACGAACCGTCACTCTCGCGCACCTAAAAGTTCCCCAAGGTTCAAACGCCTTGCTGGTCAAAAATCTCTATCTTTCCTGCGATCCCTACATGCGCAATCGCATGAGCAAATCCCAGGGAAGCTATGTCGAGTCCTTCACTCCTGGATCGGTGCGTATATAATGAACAAATCGCCTTAGCTCTGTTTGATTAGACCTCATTTTCCAATTGCAAACATCTACTTTTCCTTAAATTAACTATCGTCTTATCTGTTCTAGCCGATTGTGGGATATGGAGTGGCAAGAGTTCTGGATTCTGATAATTCCAATTTCAAGGAAGGTGACTTAGTTTGGGGATTAACTGGGTGGGAAGAGTACAGCTTAATCACTTCTACACAGTCTCTCTTCAAGATTCAACATACTGATGTCCCTCTTTCTTACTACACCGGACTGCTTGGTATTTCAATTTTTCGTACATGTTCTTCAATCTTCATGTGTCTCAAACTTTCTATCAAAATTTTAATTACTTCCAAGTCAGTGGTTTTAATTAATTAATTAAATAGTTAAACTATCTGTCAAAAAAACATGTACAGGTATGCCCGGGATGACTGCTTATGCAGGATTTTATGAGGTTTGCTCTCCCAAAAAAGGGGACACAGTGTATGTTTCGGCCGCATCGGGTGCTGTTGGTCAGCTTGTTGGCCAATTTGCCAAGCTCTTGGGTTGCTATGTTGTTGGTAGTGCTGGTACAAAAGAAAAGGTTCGTTTATTCCTTTCATCAATTTTATAATGCCATTTGTAGTTGCCTTAATTTTTTAGGAGATAGTTGTGTTTTCTTTTTATTGCAGCAGTGTATGCTGTATGGTTAACCCTTTATCCTTCTTCTTAGAAGTAGTGTCTTGTCATGTCTGTTCTTGAGCCAGATGAAACCTTGGTGCATTTGTATATAGTTCTTTGAGGACCTTTCATACTTAAGTTTGATTATGACATGTCAGCTTGTATATGTTTCATAAGACATTTTTCTTCATTTGAGGGGATAATTTAAGATGAGTTTCTATGAGGGAAGATGGGCCAACGGGGAAACAAAAAAATTGTATGTAAGTTTTTTTGTGTGGAGATGACCTAATTACCAAAGTTCATCTTTACTTTTTATCCTCAACATTCATATTTCTACTTTGGTCCTACAAGTCTACGACTATAGATTTTTCAATCATGTCCCTAAGGCCACTTTTGCCGACCCTAAATTCTTTTGGGACTAAGGCTTGGATGTTGTTGTTGTTGTGTCCCTAAGGCCACTTTTCTGGCAAAAATGTACCAGAGATTGTATGGAAATTAGTTAAAAAAAAACTTATCTGAAGGACCTGAAGTCATGAGACTAAATGTGGAAAATTAAAATCGAAGACCAAGAGAAGGAATGACCTGATACTGTGGGAACAGAAAGTGGAATTAGTTCTGCTAAAAATTATATCTTTGCATGAATTATTTTTCTGGTCCACCCTTGATCCAAAATTTTTGAGGTACTGCTACGCCATTCGAGAGGAGTTTCATGTATGGGGATGGATGGATGTTCGAGTAGCATTTTCCTTCCTATACAAGTTAATAGAAAATCTGAAGTCTTGCATAGGATGGTGTTACACTGACGTTTTTTCTTTTCAAAGCTTAACTTTTATCCTTCCCCTTTTTTACTTTACCGGAATGGGAAAAAAAATCATGTAAACCTTGCCATTATAACAAAGTTTGATCACATTTTCCATTTCCTTCTCTTGTATGTTATGTTCAACAAAAGGTGGACCTGTTGAAGAACAAATTTGGGTTTGATGAGGCTTTCAACTACAAAGAGGAGCAAGACTTGGTTGCTGCTTTGAAAAGGTTGTGATAGAAGATCCCATTCAAATGAATCATTCCTTGTCTAGAACTGTTATTCTTATAATTCTGTATTTATTACCTTGTTCTTTTTTTCATGTTTACCAGATTCTTCCCCAATGGAATTGACATTTACTTTGAGAATGTTGGGGGGAAGATGCTAGATGCAGTGCTTCTTAACATGAACCTCCATGGGCGGATCGCTGTGTGTGGGATGATATCACAATACAATCTTGAAAAGCCTGAAGGTGTGAACAACTTATTCTGTCTTATTAGTAAACGAATCCGCATGCAAGGGTTTCTGGTGTTCGATTACTACCACCTCTATCCCAAATTTCTTGAGATGATCCTGCCATGCATAAAGGAAGGGAAGGTCACTTATGTGGAGGATGTTGCCAAGGGACTTGAAAGTGCTCCGGCTGCTTTGGTCGGCATTTTCTCTGGTCGGAATGTTGGGAAGCAGTTGGTTGCCATTTCCCACGAATAGTTGTCGTTATTTTCCATGCCTATCTTCATACAAACATATGCTACTTTACTCAATTAATTAACCTTACTAATAAATGAAGCATGTGTTTTGCTATTATAGATTTTTTTGGGGGGGTGCTTCGGAAATTAGAATGAAGCTATAGCATATGAAATAGTCATGGACCCGGGCTGGTTTCGGGCCGGGCCCGGCCAGGCTTTTTTTTTTGGGAAGGAAGGCCCGGGACCGGCCAGGGTAGCCTCCGGGTCCGGTCCGGGCCGGGCCGGGCCGGGCCTCTGGTTTGGTCATTTTTTTTTTTTGCTTTCCTAACCCCCCTCACCCCCCCCCCCCCCTCAAACCCCTCCTAACCATCAAGCCCAACCCGGGTAACCCCAAAAAATGAAGAAAAAAAAAACAAGTTGGCCCGGGCCCGACCGGGCCGGTTCGCCAAATACAAGGCCCGAGCCCGGACCCCCCCCCCACCGGGCCTAGGCCCGGACCCGAGAACCAGGCCGGTTCTGGTTCCACACAGTAGCGGGCCGGGGCCGGGCTGGGGCCGGGCCGGGCGGCCCGAACCGGGTGCATAAAGGAAGGGAAGGTCACTTCCTTCCTCCAAAATCAATTTCATAATTCCACTAATATGAAATTATAGATTATTAACCAATTGCTTCACGCAATCACGCTTCACAGTTGCTCTCGTAGCCTCGTGTGGGGTATGAAACCAATTCCGGTCAAACTTATTTCCATTCTTTAAAACTGACTAGTCTTTCACAGGTGTGTTCCTAAGTAGGAATTAACAATGTACTAGTATTAACAATGATAATCATACATGTTACTGTTAACTAGTTCTGTAATGTACTAATCCAACTCGTATATAATTTGCACTAGTAAACAGGGTTGTCTAATAAACTTGGAGACATCAATTGAATGCTCACTCAATAATGTAAGGGCATCTCCATCCATGGGATTATTAGAGGATTAAGTTGGTGATGTGACAGATTATTTTTGAGATCACAATTGGGTGATGGAGATTATTTAGTGAGATTATTTGAAAAAATAATCCGGGATTGAAATATGAATCCTGATTATCTCAAGATTATTGTTAATCTAGTATTAATTGGTGAGTGTAGGAACCACAAAAGATCTGATTATTTCGAGATGATGAGTGATGTGATTTAAAAGATTTGAGATTATTTTGAAAAAATTTACACGTCACTAAAAATCTGTTTATTTAAGTAGCATGAATGTGGATGCTCTAATACTCTTTTTTTAAGTTACTTAATACTCGGCACTTGATAAAACAACACAACTCCTTACTGAAGCAATTTGAGTAAAAAAGGAGTAAAAGAATTGACGAAAAAATGACAGATTTGTATTTTTTTCTTTACTAACTGTATTTTACTTATTAATATTAATATACGAAGTATAACATTACTATATATTACTAATAAATTATTTAAAAAAAAGGGATCCATAAATCGGGGGCTCTTTTCAGTATAACTTATTGAACCTCTTAAAAAGCGTTTTTGCTAATAAATACTCCGTACTACGTATCACAATTCTAAAATCTCACATTTCATTTCTAATTTTTTATTCCTTGGGTTTTAGTCCTTTAGTCATCATAACACTTATTGATTATCTTTGTGAAAAAATCCAACAAAAATAAGAAGGAAATGTGATTCTGCTATATTTGATTATTTTATTTATGAGATTTTTACATATATATATTACCAATAGTGTGTAAGTTTACAAAAATGTGACTATCTATTTACACACTACAAATACTCACGGTAGTTTTAGTAATGCATGCAGGCAGTTAGTAACCTCTCTTTAACATGTAGTCACATTTTTGTTAGTGGTTTTTAAAATAGTAATATTTGTATAATTTATTCTTTATTTATTTTGATTATTTAAAATATAAACATTATACGTAGTTGATAGAGTATTAGTTCTTAGAGAGAAGAGAGAGCTAGAGAGATAAAGTGATGTGTATAATGAATTTCCAATCAACCATCCAATCAGTCCCTTTACATGGCTCCCATAGGGAGTATTTATAGGAGAAAAGAGGGCTGGGCTTCCAGGCTTGGGCCTGGCTGGCCCAGTTACAATAAAAGGCCAATAAATGGCTAATAAATGGTATCTAATCTATTCTAATGGATATACATGAATAAAATAGAGTGTACAATGAGATAAATGCTATCTACTGAGCGTATGTGGGCCGCTGTCCGGGCCCAATAGTCGTGAGACCCGGGGGTCCGAGTCTATATACTCTATCAGGAGTCCCCCACTCTCTGAGTCGAGAGTACTCGAGGCGAAAGAGAGTAGAACTGTGTGCTGATCTGTCGTCGTCCGGTGAGTAAACTGCTGTCGTCGCCAAAGCGCCTCGCCCGAATTCCCAAGACGATGATCTGATCCCATTGGCGAGCCCTGACTGAGGCAACCCTGTGGGAGAATCCTCAGCCGAAGGTCGCAGGCTAGAGACCATCACTACCGGTCTTGAGGCTGGGGAGCTATGTATATGTACTGGCCGATGTGGCAGCTGAATATGTATGTGATATGATGATGTCGTCGATGCGTGTGGCAATCCTTGCAAAAATTTTGAATTTCTGCTTCTTTGGTAACGGAGGCGCTAAGTCCCCCGCTCTCCCAGTCCCCCACTCCTTGAGGCGAGTGTAATGAGGTGAAGAGGAGTATAGTAATGCATGTCTGATGATGTCTGTAACGGGGGGCCGAGGGTTGACACCTTTTGATCCACAATGGGGAGATGCCTCGTTAAAAACCTCATTAGGAAAAACCCTGTGGGAAAAAATCCTAATGAGGGAAAAAGAGTACATCGGATGCCCCCAGAACGAAACAAAAGGTGCGAGCCCTTCGGCCTAGAGGTGGAGCTGCAGTGGTGTCCGTCTGCCGAGGGGATGGCAGAGGCTGATCCATAGATGTGGGTAGCTCGTCATGATCAGTAGTCCTAGTCATCAAATAAAGATGACTAAGGGATGGGTCGAGCGACCGTCCATAATATGATGTCTGGTTCATCAAATAAAGATGACCAGAATATGAGGCCGATGGGCCGATGTGAGCTCCACGTCATCAAATAAAGATGACTGGGAGTAGTGGCCGAGAGGCATATATGAGAGCTCCACGTCGTCAAATAAAGACGAAGGGGCGATGTGTGGCCGAGGGGCCTGGATAAGAGCTCCACATCGTCAAATAAAGACGACGGGGCGATGTATGGCCGAGGGGCCTGCATAAGAGCTCCACGTCGTCAAATAAAGACAACGGGGCGAGATATGGCTCAGAGGCCTATAGATGAGTTCCTCGTCATCAAATAAAGATGACAGAACGATATGTGGCCGATGGGCCTGTAGATGAGCTCTTCGTCATCAAACAAAGATGACAGAATAATATATGGCCGATGGGCCTGTAGATGAGCTCTTCGTCATCAAATAAAGATGACAGAGCGGTATATGGCCGATGGGCCTGTAGATGAGCTCTTCGTCATCAAATAAAGATGACAAAGCGGTATATGGCCGAGGGGCCTGTAGATGAGCTCTTCGTCATCAAATAAAGATGACAGAGCGGTATATGGCCGAGGGGCCTATAGATGAGCTTCTCGTTATCAAATAAAGATGACGGAGCAAGATATATGGCCGATGGCCTGTATGAGAGCCCTTCGTCATCAAATAAAGATGCTAGAGCAAGATATGGCCGAGGGGCCTATAGATGAGATCTGAGATCCTTTAGTCTCTGAGCCGGAGACCGCAAGATGTTTGCTAGATCCGAACATGAGGACGAGGCGTTGGACGCCTGTCTGAATATGAGGATGAGGCGCTGGGCGCCTGTCTGAATATGAGGACGAGGCGTTGGACGCCTGTCTGAATGTGAGGACGAGGCGTTGGACGCCTGTCTGAATATATGAGGACGAGGCGTTGGACTTCCTGTCTGAATATGAGGACGAGGCGTTGGACGCCTGTCTGAATATGAGGACGGGGCGTGGGACGCCTGTCTGATGATACGATGACGAGGCAATGCTGAGCCGATCATCATATAGAGGCGACAGTCGCCATCCAGGAGGGGATGGCGAGCCCGATCGCTAACCCAAGACATTCGGCAATGAGAGGCCGGTCTCGGAGATAGGACATCACGTCGTGGCCTAGGGGCCGATCGTGATGTGAGGACGGCCGTGATAAGGAGCCGATCCAAAATAACGATGACGAGGCGATGATAAGCCGGTCGCCACGTAGGGGCGATACTCACCATCCAGGAAGGGATGGCGAGTCTGATCGCTAGCTCAACACACTCGGCGCTGATGAAGCCGATGTTGAGATAGATCATCACGCTGAGGCCGGGGCGGCGGTCGTGATATGAGGACGGCGATAATGGGTAGCCGATCCGAATAATGATGACGAGGCAGAGATAAGCCGGTCGTCATGTAGAGGCGACGGTCACCATCCAGGAAGGGATGGGGAGCCCGATCGCTAGCTCAACACACTTGGCGCTGACAAAGCCGGTGTTGAGATAGGGCATCACGTCGAGGCCGGGGGGCCGATCGTGATGCGAGGTCGTCAGCACTATGAGGCCGAGCCAAACGTCCAAGCAACGGTCGCCATCCGATGAAGGAATAACTGAGACCGGTCTTGGGGAATATGATCACGTCGAGGCCGAGGGCCTGCCATGATCGGCACTGAGGGGCCGACCCAAAAATCCATGCAATGGTCGCCACCCAGTAAAGGAATGGCTAAGACCAGTCTTGATATAAGGTACCGCGCCTTGGCCGAGAGGCCGGCCGCGATGCGAGGATGACGACTATGATAAGCCGGTCCAATGTATGATGACGAGGCAATGATAGGCCAATCGCCATGTAGAGGCGACGGTTGCTATCCCGGAAGGGAATAGCAAGCCCAATCGCTAGATCAAGACACTCGGCGCTGAGGGAGCCGGTCTTGAGATAAAGCATTACGTCGTGGCCGAAGGGCCCGATCGTGATGTGAGGACGAAGATGCTGAGGAGCATGTCCGAGATATGATGACGAGGCAATGATAAGGCCGATCGTCATGTAGAGGCAACGGTCACCATCCAGGAAGGGACGGCGAGCCCGATTGCCAACTCAAGACGCTTGGCGATGAGAAGCCGGTCTTGAGAAGGAATAATCACACCAAGGCTGGGAGGCCGGTCGTGATGTGCGGATGGCGAGGATGATGAGCCGATCCGAATAATGATGATGACGAGGCGGAGATGAGCCGATCGTCATGTAGAGGCGACGGTTGCTATCCCGGAAGGGAATAGCAAGCCCAGTCGCTAGCTCAAGACACTTGGCGCTAAGGGAGCCGGTCTTGAGTTAGATCATCACGTCGAGGCCGGGGGGCCGATCGTGATGTGCGGATGGCGATGATGATGAGCCGATCCGAAGATCCAAGCAACGGTCGCCATCCGGGAAGGGATGACTAAGACCGGTCTTGAGATAAGGTATCACGCCTTAGCCGAGAGGCCGGACGCGATGTAAGGACGACGGCGATAATGAGCCGGTCCAACATATGATGACGAGGCGATGTGAAGGCCGATCGTCATATAGAGGCAACGGTCGCCATCCAGGAAGGGGCGGCGAGCCCGATTGCCAACTCAAGACACTTGGGAATGAGAAGCCGGTCTTGAGGAGAAATAATCACGCCAAGGCTAGGAGGCCGGTCGTGATGTGCGGATGGCGATGAGGAGCCGATCCGGATAATGATGACGAGGCGATGATGAAGCCGATCGTCATATAGAGGCAACGGTCACCATCCAGGAAGGGACGGCGAGCCCGATTGCCAACTCAAGACACTTGGCAATGAGAAGCCGGTCTTGAGGAGAAATAATCACGCCAAGGCTGGGAGGCCGGTCGTGATGTGCGGATGGCGATGAGGAGCCGATCCGGATAATGATGACGAGGCGATGATGAAGCCGATCGTCATGTAGAAGCGACAGTCGCCATCCATGAGGGCAATGGCGAGCCCGGTCGCTAGCTCAAGACACTTGGCGCTGGGGAGGCCGGTCTTGAGATAAAGCATCACGCCGAGGCCGGGGGGCCCGGTGGTGATGAGCGGATGGCGATGATGATGAGCCGATCCGGATAATGATGACGAGGCGATGATGAAGCCGATCGTCATATAGAGGCGACGGTTGCTATCCCGGAAGGGAATAGCTAGCTCGGTCGCTAGCTCAAGACACTTGGCACTGGGGAGGCCGGTCTTGAGATAAAGCATCACCCCGAGGCCGGGGGGGGCGGTGGTGATGAGCGGATGGCGATGATGATGAGCCGATCCGGATAATGATGACGAGGCGATGATGAAGCCGATCGTCATATAGAGGCGACGGTTGCTATCCCGGAAGGGAATAGCTAGCTCGGTCGCTAGCTCAAGACACTTGGCACTGGGGAGGCCGGTCTTGAGATAAATAATAAGTTTGGGGAATTTATTTATTTTTATTGCTCGAGGCCGGTAAGTGCGCGGTCCGTCGGCTTCCCTCTTTTTTTTTTTTTTTTTTTTTTTGGGTGGCCGAAGGGTTACTGTCCCTTCGTCCATGTGCGGTAGTTTGTCCGCTACGCTTTTCGCGTGGATTAGTGCGAGGGAGTAAATACGCCCTCGGCTTGGTATGTCAGTGGCATCTTTTTTGGCCTTTCCACGTCTATCGTCGACGAGGGACCGGACTATGCATCGTCTTTTGACGGCCGCCCTTTGTGGTCCTGAGCGAAATTTTACTGACGGGTGGAGTTTTCGTAACCTCGGCCTTAATTCAGGCTTGTCGTCCTGCGGTTTCCGCGCGGACGACGCGGTATGCTTCTCCGTTTGAAGACGTCGGACCATCAGTGCCGATCCTATCTAAATTCGGGCCTGAGTCGAACTTCATAAAAAGGCCTCTAATTTTATGTAGTAAATTTGTTTTAAACTTAAAGATACATCATAAAATAACTAATTAAATAAAGTATTACATTATATAATATAACAATACCAAATGTTTTAGAAATAACGAATTAGCTAGTTACGACGAATATGACAATTTTAGCCTAATTAAGTCGGCGTAATCAAGGAGTTCAATAAACTCCTTGTCTATTGATAACATACCTAATTCACAAAATGTTAAACAAATGTTGAAACGAAACGCAAATGAAAACATTATTTATTGAAATCATATACAGAGTATATTATAAATATTGATAACATTAGTTAAACAAATGTGCTAACTAATGCATCATATTAACATGTCACTAAGTTAGAGAAGATAATCCACTTAAAATTTAGTTTGTAAATATAAAAAAAAAAAACTGAAATTGTTTAATTCTGAATCTCAACTAGTTTAAGTATCCTACATTAAGCTCAAACTTAATTTTCTAAACATATAGATCAATCAATGGGATCTCAAATAAACCTTGGAACAACTTATTACTCCATCCGGTTCTTATTAAAGTTCACAGTTTGACTTCACAAAGATTAAGAAAATAAATTTGACTTTATTGTAGAGTTCACTGTTTGGCACTGTTTCGTATTGTTTGACATTGTTTTGCACTGTTTTGTTTCCTAAAATGGAAGTGTAAACTTAAATAAAGGACATCCCAAAAGGGAAAATGGGAACTTTAATAGGGACGTGAGGAAGTATTCATCTTCGATTAGCACAAAAAAAGACTTTTTGATGGTGCAAAAGAAATTCAAATTGGGGCCCATAAACTTCTAGCTTTAGCATTTGAAAAGTCAAATCTTCTGTGCGGCTTTCCATTCCACTTGGTTGGTACTTGGAGCTATTTCGAGTTTTCAAATGCACCGGCCGATAGAATTTAAACAAATGTAGGTCTTCTATAATTTAAATACATATGTATAATAGACAAATATTTTGAATTATGGACCCTAAATTTTTAACCTTTTTTAGGGCCCTGAGGCCTCTGCCTCAATGGCATCTAAGAAAGCACGGCTCTGCGGACCATACACACAGGTCCTTCGTCCTGCATATCGCCGGCCGATTTGGGTGTTTCACCGCTTGTGCCGATACGATATTTAGGTGCGTTGTTTATTGCAACGGCTTTGTAGGCGCGTTGTGGATCGCAACGGCCTTAGGTGCGTTGTGTATTGCAACGGCTTCAGGTGCGTCGTTTATTGCGACGGCTTTAGGTGCGTTGTTTATTGCAACGGCTTTGAGTGCGTTGTTTATTGCAACGGCTTTGGGTGCGTCGTTTATTGCGACGGCTTTAGGTGCGTTGTTTATTGCAACGGCTTTTGGATGACGCAATTAGCGGGTAGGGGAATGAGGTGTACCGCTTCTAGGCATAATGTCGTGTGCGGCCGTTGATGGCTCTCATTCTAGATGCCCGGGTCATCAAATAAAGATGACCATGGTAGGTCAATGGACCCAAATATGATCTGAATCATCAAATAAAGATGTTCGGAAGGTTAAGGCTTTGGCCCGCACCAATTGGGGATTTCAATCCGCTAGCAATGGTGGCGAAGATAATAATAATAGTAGCAATTATGATTATTGTTTTCTTTTTTTGATTAGTAGTAAAACTATATTTTTCTTTTTCTCTTTGGAATAGTAGTAAAACTATTTTTTCGGAATAGTAGTGAAACTATATTTTTTTTTGAACAGTGGTAAAACTATTTTGCTCCATATTTAATGCATAAAATAGGAGGAAAAGTTTGTGAGACTTACTTGTATTTGGGCCGAAGCCTGCCCTGCTTAGAATTCAAGCAGGGAAATATAAGATTGGGCCTGCTCCAGAGAACCCAGCCTTTATCAGATAGCCGGCCCACTAGCTGATTTGCTTTTAAAAATTTCAGCCGATGCGTCCGTTGTTTGCGAAGACTACGGAGAGGCAGACGGAGCGACTTAGTCGCTAGAGGCCATGGGGTTGCCGCCTGCTGCGATTGCCGAAGGGAGGGGCCGAGATTCTCTCCGCCAGACTGCCCTGCTTTTCTGAAGAGGCTGTCTGAGGCGATGTGGCGGTTCGTCGGGCAGGACTCTGTCCGGCTGGGGAGACCCTGTCCGGGATGGGGCCTTGTTGTTCCCGCAATAGAGTGGCTGAGGCGTTGTATAGCTGATTGCTTTGAGGCCGAAGCGTTGCCGGCCGACGGCGTTGAAACCGAAGCGGTGCCGGCCGAAGCGCCGGCCGAGGGAGTTGCTCTCTTTTTTTTTCTTTTTGCTTGCCCATGTATTGATGAGCTGAGTCGGTTCTGTGGGAAGCATGTGACAATTTGGCCGATGCGTTGCCGGCTGATTAGGTGCCGCTGGCCGACAGGGTTGATGGCCGATGCGAAGCCCCATCCTAGATAGGTATTGAAGGTAGGGGACGAAGTGACCCTGGTGCAGCTCTCCGGCCGATCTGCACTGTCCGGTGTGAGACCGATGCGGTGCGCCGATGCGGTGCCGGCCCTGTTTTGGCCGAAGAGAAGCCACCAAGCCTGTGGATTGCTAGGCCGACGTATGCACTGCTGACCGATGCGGTGCTGGCCGACGCCGCTATCCGATGCCGCTGGACAATGCGTCCGGCCGATGCGCCATTGATTCACTATTTGGCCGACGGCCTGCCATCCTAAGTGCTTAATTGGCCGAAGGGCACTCTAGCCGAGTGGTGCCGGCCGATGGGGTGCAGGCTGAGTCCGGCCGATGGGACTCCGCCAAGGTGGAGCCACCGCCGAGGAGTTTAGACGAGGGGGACAGGTGGCCGTGGCGCTGCCCTTGCCGGTGTGCCACTCCGTCTCATGATGAGGTGAAGTCCACCCACTGGGCCGAGGCGTACTTAGCTTCCAATTGGGCCGAGACGACGGCTTGTAGGAACCGGGACGAGGTGGAGCCACTACCATTCCCAGGACGAGGGGCGTGGTCCACACTTCATATCCTGTGTCAATTGAAATTGAGCTCTTTTGTTTTTTGTTGCAGACGATGCGATTCCAGGGGTAGAAGACTGGCAGCCAAAGTAGATATGTGATGGTCCCACTAGTTCCACTGCCTCGATACGAGGTGGTGCCCATTTGTCCCTTGCTGCTAGTTTACAAGGTGCCAGCTCTAATGCTTTGGCTGAGGAATGTACGTGACATGTGAGCCATGGTGGCATGTTGCCTCTAGAAGGGCCGAAGGGTGCCCCTTTGTTTATTCACGTGAAGTTTCATTGGTTGGGGAGGATCTCACTTGATCTGTTCTAGCTCTCAATGAAAGCACCAAATGATAGAGTATTAGTTCTTAGAGAGAAGAGAGAGCTAGAGAGATAAAGTGATGTGTATAATGAATTTCCAATCAACCATCCAATCAGTCCCTTTACATGGCTCCCATAGGGAGTATTTATAGGAGAAAAGAGGGCTGGGCTTCCAGGCTTGGGCCTGGCTGGCCCAGTTACAATAAAAGGCCAATAAATGGCTAATAAATGGTATCTAATCTATTCTAATGGATATACATGAATAAAATAGAGTGTACAATGAGATAAATGCTATCTACTGAGCGTATGTGGGCCGCTGTCCGGGCCCAATAGTCGTGAGACCCGGGGGTCCGAGTCTATATACTCTATCAGTAGTATATATTATGCATAATATATACTACATGATATAATTAAGCAAAATAAATAATGGTATATTCAAATATAAATATTTGAATATAGTATTTGACTATAAGAAAAAGAAATAATGACAAAAAATATGAGTTGGGACTTTCAATTAGACAGAAGTAGGACCATTTTTTAAAAAGACAAAAAAGAGATCCCGCTTCAAGCGTGCATGAGCGACATCTCTGCTAACGACGACATCTCTTGTGCGACGGGGGAAGGCCTTCAATCGGCAACCGACAACAATGGAAATGGGGACATCGGAGATGGAGAGCACCATTGATGCCGAACAATCAGTCAAGCTTCGTCTTACATCTCCGAGCTCTTTGGCTTTGATATGCGACCTTTTAGTCTTCCATCTGCGAGCTCAACGACAACGCCTTTGGTGGCTAGGACCAATTTGTCGTCCACCTTGGGCTTGAGCAAATCAGTCATTGACTATAGGACTGCATAGATCTGGAGTTTCTGGTTTGGGGGAGGGGCCGGGAAAGGGGCTGGCAGTAGGGATGGAGCCAGGATCCAGTGTCAGTGGTGTCATATATAAAAGATTATCTATACTAGACATAGAATTTTTATTTTCAATGGGGGGCGAGGGAGGAGGTTGGGGGTTGGGGAGGGGGGCGGGAGGGGATGTTGGGGGCTGGGGGGTCTGCTAGGTTAGGGGTAGCAGTTGTCACTGTCGGGCGGCAACGGCGATGCCCGCCGTATGTGCGGCGGCGGTCGATGTGGGGTCGGATTGGTCCTGGTCACTGGTCGGATAATTGTTCATGGGTAAATTGGTTATTGGTCGGTTTGGTCATAGGCATTGGTCGAATTATTCATGGTCATGGGTCGGTTTGGTCACTCATCGGGTTGGTCACTAGTCGAATTGGTCGCTGGCCCAATTGGTCACGGTCACTAATCGGATTGATCGGATTGGTCATGATCACTGGACAAGTTGGTCATCATCACTAGTCGAATTGGTCACTGGCCGAAATGGTTACTGGTCATGTTAGTCAATGGTTGGATTGATCATTGTCATTGAGAGTAGTCTAGTCTCATTTTTGTAATTTTTTAAAAGTGGTCTTATATTTATCCATACCATTTATTTTTGTATTATCTATCGACAAAACCCTAAGAAAAATTAATCAAATCAAACACAAATACTCTTTTAAGTTTTAATGCTAAACAAGGAAAATTCAAAACGAGTAGAAATTTATCAAATTCAAATCAAATAAAGTGATATTTGACTCATTCGAATCGTTTATAGTATGAATCTCTCCCATCCTCGTTCCAATTCCGTCCATTTCAAGAACAAAGTCATATAATATGGGGATCTCACCAATTAATTCCTTCTAATCTCGTGATTCTGTCCATATGATATGATTCCGTTGACTTCACCCATTCCACTGATTCCGGTGAGCTGAGATAAATTATTGTAATTTAGCTTGATAGATTTATGAGAATATTTAAATCTTTGTGTTCTTACTGAATTTGCCGTGATTGCTCATTACGGGAAATTAGTTAATGATTGGCGGGAGTCCTTTTGAATTTTGAGATGACGGCTTAGGATGTTTTTACTTGGACTGTAGTTTGTCCCACATCAGACCAGACCAGTTCAGACTAGACCAGACTTGGATAGTTATAAAAATACAAAGAAACCAGACCAGACCAGTTCAGATCAGACCAGACCAGCAAATTACAGTCCAAGACTCCAAGTAAAAACATCCTTAGGGGACAAAAATGTGACATTCTTATATATAATGAGTATAGCTATATGTAACCATAATATTACACTAACCGTAATTTTATGCACATTTCATCACATAATATTCCACAAGTAACTCTGGTGTTTCTTGCAAAACAATAGTAATAGTTGTGTCAAAACCACCAAAGCGGGATTCAAAGTTCAAACTGAACCGTTTACTTAAATGTTGACTGGACTAGATGTTTACTTAAATCTCATTTGGCTACTACTTCTATTATTTTTTTTGTCATAATCTCATCTATTGAGGTTCTAAGAAACACTGCCATTGAAGCTTAATAGACTCATTGGGAGCATTTTCCAAAACTTCTGACTCGGCTCGGTGTCTCAAAGTCTATATGTTGCAGTTATATTTTCATTTGAGAAAAGGGGCAAAGAAACCCACGTATTAACCAAAAAATGTCAAATAAACCTAGGGGTGGACTCGGGCCGGGCCAACCGGCCCGGAACCGGACCGGCCCGCTACTGTGCGGGCCCGGACCGGCCCGGTCACCCGGTTCTTGACCGGTTCGGGCCACCCGGCCCGGTGGTATAGCGGTCCGGGCCCGGGCCTCCATTTTAGTGAACCGGCCCGGCCGGGCCGGGCCCGGTTCGGGCCTCCAACGGCCAAATTTTTTAAAAAAAAATTTTTTTTTTTTTAAATTGGAACAGCTCCTCCTAGCCGTTGGGAAGGCTCCCAAACGGCTCTATAGCCGTTGGGAGCATAGGAGGGGGGGTCTGGGGTGTTAGGGGGGTGGGGTGGGGGGGTCGGGTGGGGGGTGGGGGTGGGGTATAAAAAAAAATCTATTTAAACTCCTATTTTCTCTACATTTTTTACATCTCTTCTTCTACAACTCTTCCTACTCTCTAATTCTCTACTCTAAATCTCTCATATTCAATCATCTTCATTCTGCATCCTCTCCAAATTCTTTCTACATATATATAATTATTATTCTACTTATATATTAATTATCTATATAAAAATATATACTTATACACATTCATATTATAATTCTTTACACATTATATATACTATATAAGTATATATACTATACACATTCATATTCACTTGATATTTAGTTATTATCCATACTATTGTTATTTACTTATATTTACATTTTACATTTAGTTAATATATACTTATATATATATATATATTAAAGTATTAAGTATAAGTGTATTACTCATCTTATAGTAATATACTTATATATTATATACTATAAACATTATATTATATATTACTTATAAATTATAATATATTTACACATTATATATATACTATATATACTTATACACATTCATATTTATTTGATATTTAGTTTTTATACATACTATTGTTATTTACTTATATTTACATATTACATTTAGTTAATATATACTTATATATATATATATATATTAAAGTATTAAGTATAAGTGTATTACTCATCTTATAGTAATATACTTATATATTATATACTATAAACATTATATTATATATTACTTATAATAGTAGTTAATTGTTAGACTTCTAATTTATCTATTAAATTAGTTAATTGTTACAATTCTCTACATTTCTCTTTCAAAAATTAAATAGTTAAAGTAGTATATTTTTACATTTGTCATATTTCAATTAGTTAAAGTACTTAATTGTTTCATTTGTCATATTAAAATTAGTTATTTCATACATTGCTCATTAAAGTAAAAAAAAAAACTAGTTAAGTTTTACATTTGTCATAATAATATTAGTTAAACTACTTAATTGGTACATTTTTCATATTAATATTAGTTACTTGCTACATTTCTCATTAAAGTAAAAAAAGTAGTACATTTTTACATTTGTCATATTAATATTAGTTAAAGTATACATTTCTCATTAAGGTAAAAATAACTAGTAAATTTTTACATTTGTCATTTTAAAAACTACCTAAAGTAGTTAATTGTTAAAATTGTCATATTAATATTAGTTAAACTACCTAATTGTTACATTTCTCATATTAATATTAGTTAATTTGTACATTGCTCGTTAAAGTAAAAAAAACTAGTTAATTTTTACATTTGTCATATTTATATTAGTCAAACTAGTTAATATTTAGTTAATTGATACATTTCTCATTAAAGTATTAATTAGAAGTAGTTCGATTTGTATACTCATATTTTAGTTCGAATTCGCAATAGTTTTCTTAGTCACATTTTATTATTACTATTGTACTCATATAAAATATTTGATATCATTTAATATTTGTTCAATTTTAAAGATGGAACGTGGTAGACATTCTGTAGATGTGGGTAATCTCCAACGCAACCGCAAGAGGGAGATTGCGTCGACTCGTCCTAATTCACGCAAAGGCAAAGGTAAAGCGCGGGCCGAGTCTTCTTTTCAAAGTCGAGATGATTTTGAAACGGATTACCAACGGAGAGATGATATGATGATGTCCGACGAGCATCTACTAAACCTATTGTCCCAAAACGATCCACGCTTTGCACAAGAACAACCCATCCCGACAACCATTGATGAAGAGGAGCTCGAGGATGACGATGCGGAGGAGGACGCGGGGGGCGACGGGACTCACGGCACCCCGGATGATGAGCAAGACTTGGAGGACGAGGGCGGTTCAACCCAAACTGGTAAGAAATCTAAATTAATTAATTTGTTACAAACTTACAAGTTACAACTTATACACCTATTTTGTAACATTTGTAAATTATAAATGAAATCACTTTTCTAAGTAAAAATAGTTTTACTTAATTAAAAAATTAAAAACATTTTCTAAATCAAATCACTTTTCTAAATCATATCACTTTCCTTACACTTTTCTAAATCAAATCACTTTTCTAAGTAAATTATACACAATATGTATAATTTTCAAAAAAATAAAATTAAAACATTTTGAAGTGGGAGATTGCTCCCAAAGTCCCAAACGGCTATATAGCCGTTGGGGCTTAGGGTGGGGGGTGGGGGGGGTCGCGGGGGTGGTGGGGTGGGGGTGGGGTTCAAAAAAATCTATAAATACATCTATTTTCTACCATTTTCTACACCTCTTCTCCAACTCTTCTCCATCTTCATCTTCTCTTATTATCCTACATTTCTACTTATACATCTACCATTTTAAAGATGGAAAGTAATTCTTCTGTTATGCAAAACAACTTTGACAAGTGGAAGGATCCGAAGACCGGACTGTGGTGGGCAACTTGCAAGTTGTGCAAGAAAGAGTGTTGCTTGGGGCGTTCACACGGAGTCGGGATGCCAATGAAACATATGAAGTCATGTGACAAAGGTAAAACAACAACCAACGGTGGCGGAAATCCCAATTGATATTTATTCGAAAATGTATTTCATATTGTTATTTTTTCCTCAATTCTCAAATGTACTTCCTATTTCAAATAAATGCACTTGAATTTTGTTTTTCATAACAATTATTATAATTATATAGTATAGAATATAAAAAATAAAAAATAAAAGGACCGGCCCGAACCGGGCCCGGCCCGTGAACCGGGCGGGCCACCCGGCCCGAACCGGACCCGGGGTTACCCGGGCCGGTTCCGGGCCTCCCAAACCGTGAACCGAGGCCCGGCCGGTTCAAGGCCCGAACCGGGCCCGGCCCGAACCGAGTCCATGCCTAAATAAACCCTTATTTAGGAGGCTCTGTCCGGCCGTCGCAATTTGGGGCGGTTCCGGTGGAATTTTTTGATGAAATTTTTGAGCATCTTATTCATTAAGTCTAGTTTACTCATATCAAATTTCAGCTAAAACTTCAATCGACAACCTGCATCTGCAAAATCCTTGATTGATAGCTAGTATGTCTTTGAGGTACTGGATTGTTAATAACAAACTTCTATGTCCATTAGACAAAGAAGACACAAAAAACCCTGGTTTTATTTCGTCCAAATAAAAAATGAATAATAACAATATTCGTAGTAGTAGTTATAGAAGAGGATGAGGAAACTTCCTTAAAACAAGGAAATGGTAATTTGCAACAAGTAAAGGGCAAACTCCTACAAAACTCATTCTTGCCACCCCCTTCAGTTCAATGGACTGCCTCTCTAATCTCTATAAGGGGAAAGAGTATCCTCTGAGGTATTTCGAGTCCACCCCCGATTCACGTGCCAGTGCAACACGTCCAGTTCGTGCCACCTGTTCAAGAAAAGACCAAATAAAGAAAAATAGATAGATTATAATTTATAACAGCACCGAGTGAAAGCACAATATATTATTATTTCCATGTAGTTCTAAATAAATAAAAGATACGCAGTAAGTGCTAATTTGCTAACTGTACCAGTTTAGACAAAACCTTCACTTTTGTTCCTACGGACACAGAAACTTACAGACATGACTAACCTCACGTTTTTTACGGTCTGGATACAACATTTCTATTAGAATAAATGGAGCTGGTATATAAGGTACTTTGTTTATAGCATTACTCGTACATATAATACCAAGCTAAGAATCAGACCTCACAAATACCATACGGTTCCAACAGCCTTTGCAAAGCAACAATCTTATCCAAATCTCCTGTGAGCTGGAAAAGTGAAGACAATTGTTAAACTCTATTTATTATGTGATTAAATAAGGTTGCAGGCTCTTGATTTTCAAATCAAATTTTATATGGATTGATTGTTTCCTCCAAAGAAGATAAGAGTACGCTCATATAATCTGTCAAACAAACGATGAGGGGTGTTTACCAAAACAACAACAACCTTATACATTGTTCCAACATTGTATTACTACATCAGTCTCATAAACTAGTATTGTTTGACATGTACAACTTTTAAACTTTGGAGAAGCAATATTATCATAAATAATACTCTGTTTCTTCAAAATTAATATTACTCTCACGGTCCTGAAATTTAATATCCAATTTAAAGTTCAGTCACTGTTTCAGCAGTCAACTTAACTTTATTTTGTGTCAAATTTATGAATCCATTTTTATTCAGATTTAAATTTGCTTGTTGTGATTCAATAGAACTTCTAGTACAGTTTCAAGATATGTAATGTGTGATTCTTTTTATTATTTAAAAACTTTAAGTGCAACAATTTATATGCTATTAGGGGAGAATTAATTTTATTATTAGTCAGACAATGTATATAAATAAAAGTAGACTAATGCTTGTCAGTAACTCCTTTTTGGAAAAATCCTGAATCCTGAGTTCCTGACAAACTAAGAAACAAATTAGCTTTGTTATATCAAACTTGACTCTTTTTTAGGAGAAAAAAGATTGAATCAAAACTTCTTTATTTGGGTGGGAGGGAGTGGTAAATGTTTCACAGATGAGACAATATAAACACACCTCTAGAGTTATGGTATGGTCAGACACATCAACAGCTTTAGCTCTAAAAATGCTAGCAATATCAAGAACAGTACGACGGACTGCAGCATTTACAGCAATTTTAATCAACATGAGCTCTCGTTCCGCAAATGGTAACTGGGTGAGATCCTTGACCTGAAAAGGGTCATCAGAAAATCTATTAGACATTTAACTACTTGACCAAATAGTTGAGTCCAATTAACTAGTCAAACACATGGCCTTATAAAACCCAGTCTCTTTGTACTATTTCGATGCAGGACTATCTTAGCAGTCCAATGACCAAATTAATCCCTGCCTAAGCACTATCTACAACATTGATAAGTGAGATCGATTAATGTGACATGCACTCACCTCACGCAAATCTACCAATTTACGAAGTTGCTGAGATAACTTGCTGATAGATTCATCAGTCCCAGGAACAACAGTAGTAATGCGGGAGAGTCCCTCAACTTCAGCATGCCCAACAGCTAAACTCTATTGAAGGAGAGAAAATAAATATAAACAAACAAAAAAGGAAGTGCAATATGTAATATGTGTCAGGTGCGGATATGATAAGAACATATACTTGGATATTATATCCACGTCTAGCAAAAACCCCTGTTACTATGTTGAGGACACCAGGAGAGTCATTCACAAGCAATGATAGTGTGTGTGAACGGAGCCCACTAACCTGCAAATGACCCCAACAGTAATGGTTATAGCAATAAGCAAAGTTTTTAACCAAAAACATAGATGACAAATATGCATAAAATTACCCAAGATGCACATATTGATGGAATAATTACACTAATCGGTGTTCTTTTCAACAAAAGGTAATTACAAATGGATTTTTAATAAACTTATGGCTTACATGCGTTTTAAGTCCCTGTAAATATAGTACTTAAGGTCCCTGCAAATTATTTCTTTCATCCTGTAATTTGCACTTTTTTCATTTTAGTCCCTCGCCAACTCTCTTGCAACCTTCGTTTACCAAAAAACAGACATGACTAACGTGAACTGTCTTACTTTTGCAGGTTATTTCATTTTTGAAACAGTCAAATTATATTCACATATAGCGTATGTTAAAAGTATGATGATTAGATTTTCTTAGGCACACCACAACTAATGGCCACAAAAAAATTGTAAAGTTTGTAGAAAATTTAGAGAAGCGTTTTGGGATCGAGTTAATTTTTTTTCCAAAAAGGAAATTGTCTCAGAGTTAGATAGAGACTAAAAACTGTCATACATTGCAGGGATGAAAAGCCCAAAAAAAGTATTCTATAAGGATTTAAACCAAAAGGTGCAATATTTGTGTGGACAAAACATATTTAAGCCTAAATTAAACATTTATTGCGAAGAAGTTGCACAGTGACTTGAGAGGTGGGTAAAGAATTAGATAAATGATACGGAAAATTTAGCTACCAACTACAAATAATAGTGATGCTTTTCAGCCAATAACTCAAGCACGATAAGAACAACTCCATTTCCTGATAGAAAACAAAGTCAGCAAATCGACAAGAAAGTTTGAATATGTGATGTGAGTTTCTGCATACATCATAGTCGGTGAGAACACCCCAATGGGCATCAAGAACTTGACTGACTGAAGGTTCATCATCTGTCTCTACTGGATAAACATCTCCCTTCAAACAACAACAAGCACACATATCAGATATATAAATTAGTCACCATCATCGGCTTGACTTGTCACAAATGTTTAAATAGATTAGAAGGAAAAATTGCCACTCTCAAAGGAAGTATAATGGTAGGCTTTTAATCAATAAATGCAGAGGAGCATACCCCAATGGTAGAATCAGCATGTCCGTCAAGAGAACCCAATGTTTTCCTTGAAATATTGCCGATGGGCATCACTGCCTCAAGGTCAGGATATGAAGCTGCTGAAAACCGCCAAAAAGGAGCAGATTCTCCCATCTTCTCCCGTCTCAAGGCTATCTAAACACGATGATGCCTCATGTATAGAGTTACTTGGAACAATGGGAATGACTGAGGATCGCACAAAAATTAATTTTGATTCAAGCATAAAGATAATTGTACCTTCCCAGTCCTGGCAATTTCCCTAATTCCAAACTTACTCAAGTTCCTCTGAACTGCAATCATCTTTCCTGGATCTCCAGTTACCTGTATGCAACACAACCAATCTATTAAATGAGCCAAACAGTAGAGTATATGTATGCTCCAAAGCAACATGGGCTTGCTATTTGCCTATACCATCTATTTTTATGCCATAGTGCACAGAAATATGAAAGTAGAGTATTCAGTTTCAGTCATCAGAATTTTATATGTTCAAAAGAAAGAAGAAAAAAATTGTTATGGAGATAGAGATACTGCTAGTCTAAATCCGCCTGATATTGGACTGCTAATAGGATTAAAAGAAAGTTTAAAGCAGTCACAACAACAACATCCAAGCCTTAGTCCCAAAAGTTTTAAGCAATAAATGTTTTTAAGAAAATTGCCTCAAGGAAGTTGTTTCAGACAACTTTGAGTTCATAACAAACAAGTTTCCTAATACTGCACAATGTGAACAAATTACACAATTTCTGCCAAAAGTCCAAAGAGATACCTGTTAGTCTGTTACCCATCGGCCATCTGCTAATACACTTATATCCAAGCTTCTGGTATGGGAATGTCTGAAGTAGACTATTTGGTGCATATTTTGCTTTCTAAATTCTAATGTATTCTAAATTTTCCAGGAACTCAGCGACCGTGCAGGGTTTTATATTCTTTTTCTACTTAATAAATGAAATTTTCCTTTTAGTGACAAAATGATCTACATATTATAGTAAATTGATTTACAACTACACTAGTGTCTTTTAACAGACCCTTGTTGTGAGGTACGTCGTATGTGCTAGTTTAAGGAGCTCATGAAGCACTAGAAAGCCTTTCACTTCTTTTAGCAGTGAAGCAATGCACTAATAGCTAAACATAACTTTGGGCTATGTATTTTGTCAGTTTTTCTAGGTAGTGTAATCAAGGAAGCCAGAAACAGGTAAAGGCTCTTAGCATGAAGTAGCACCAAAACTTTCAACAATTATCATCACTGCAAGAGTTAACATCAATCACCTCAATAGTTAGTGAGTGGTCTGAAATATCCACAACTTTGGCCCTAAAGATGTCTACCAACCACATAACCTGGTGAATCCAAAAAAAAATTAAGACCAATTAGCTGACAGAGACCCCAATTAGAAAATCCCACTGGAAAAAGTAAAGGGGGAGATAAAGATCCTTTTCCCTCATTCAATAAAACTGATGTGACATTCTATAACACAACATTCCTACCTCAGCACGGAATTTTGGATCAGCATCAATTTTAATCAGCATCAGTTCGCGTTCAACTTGAGGCTCCTTTGATATATCTTCAACCTGGTGACAAGCAGGGCATTTCCATCACATGATCAAGCAGGGCATAGCTGAAGGTTAACGAAGTTTTCTAGTAATAGGTTGGGCCTAATTAACTTGGAAAAGACAATGTGCATCAATTAAGTTGGTTTACTATTGGCCTAGTATTTTAATAACTGTAATAAGCTAAACATCTTATTTCCTATTGGAATAGTAAGCCGACATTGTTCTCTTAATCAGTTAATCCTTGATATTTGAGTAAACAGAAGAAAATATGATGGGTTAACATCTCATTAAGCAGAAATAGAATGATTCATGAAATAATAATAACCTTTAATACATTGACCAGCTTCCGGAGCTGTTCCACAACGTTCTGTAATACAGTTTCAGTTCCAGACACAACTATGGTGAAGAGAGCCTTGTCCTTGTTCAGACCAACAGCAAGGGTCTCAATGTTATACCCTCTCCTGGCAAACACCCCCGCAATCCTATTTATCATTCCGCTTTCATCCCCAACAAATACAGAGATTGTGTGGCGTCTCACCCTAGATCAAATTTAAGAGCATAACATCATTAAATGAATTCAAATGAGTGCATGAGATCAGCTGTATAACAAGTTTGTAAATACAACAACACTTTGTAGTTGCATTTTAGTAAAATGAATGGTTCCTACATAACTGTCATTCAAGAGGAAAAGTTATTGTTAAATCAAGAGAGCATCAATTGATTAGTTTTCTGAACTGATGGAGTACGCAAGTTCTTCCCTTTATATTTTTGTCACCTTCCACCTTTTTTACTCTCACCAATTTTCACTGTCAGTTGCTTACAATACTCCTTGCAGAGTGTCTGTAAAGCATACCATAGAGCAATTATGTTTCCAATGTTATATTTCAAGCAAAGGATACTCCACTTTCATTTCTAAATTCTCTACCTAAAATATACATGGAAGTTTACTACAAGTGCAAATGAACTTTCAATGAGTCCATGAAAAGAAAGAGAGAATAAGAGCACACTTCTGCCGCTGGGTAGGGGTGGATGGACTGGTCGTGGGGAAGGAGGTTTCGCTCTGAGCTTTGGGCTTCCCATCAGCGGCATTTGCGAAGACGACGGCGAATTTTTTCGGCTTCCGGGCATGGATAATAGGGCTTGCCGTGCAGAGGCCTAGCGTTGTTGGGAAACTGCGATCATCGCATGGTGGTTTCAGGGCATGGAATGGGGCAAAGTGAGTTGAGAGAGCCGCCATTGAACCAGAGCAAAGGAGAACGAGTGATACAGCGTGGAAGTTATACGGAAGATGTCTTTTGACAGCTGCTTTGGCGGAAGTTATACGGAACTTGCGATTAAAATTTTCTAGTTTCCGATGTTTTTACTTTGGACGAAAATTTGGTCGGTTACGGAGTGCTCTGATCTTCTGATCTGGTCGATTGAATATCCGATCAGTTATTTTATAATTATTCAAGTCTAATTTAATCTGGTATAGTTCTGGTTTGAACAGATTTGTTATGATCTGAGTGGGGACAAAAAAAGTCTAACTTTTAAAAACATTCTTTAAAAGTTAGTTTGATACATGTATGATTGCTTTTTAATTTTTGAATTGAAATTGATGCCTAGGACCCCAAGTTAGGAGCTTGACACACGGAGCAGCGCTGCAAAAACAATTTTATTCACCTTCAAAATTGGTTATTAATTTATCCATTTGTTTGTTGCCATGGTAGAAAGAATTGCTTTTTTTATGTTACCACTACACGTTTGGTTTTATAGATCATGTATGACCTATTTAGGTTTGATCTACTAAACGTTTGCAAAATATTACTTGATCAGTTTAGATAAAATTTATTTAAATCAGATATGATTTAGGAGTTAAAAATAATGAGAGATTCATCCAAATAGGACTAAAACAATGTAGAATTGCAAAAATAGAACTCCTATGTTTTATTTGATAAGAATGGGACTAAAAAGAAGTAATCAGACAAAACTACCCTTAATGAAATAAAAATAAAAGGCACCGCTGCACCTCTTCGGCTCTTCCGATGATTTCTTGCAGCAAGGCCTCCAGACCACCGACATCAATAATACGGTCTGCACCTGTCATCATCGCCAAGACCACCATCGCATCACCGCCACTCTCCAGCGAGGCGTTGTAGCCAAGACCGCCACCTCCGTCACTTCCCGATGAGGCACCGTCGCCAAGACCACCGCCGCCGCCGTCATCCACCACGTTAAGTTCTCCATTGGAGGTGTTGACATCTTCCCATTGGGATGGGCAACCTCCTCTGGAGAGTATGTCATCAATTTCAGGTTAAATTGGCATCATCATAACATCAAAAACCAAAAACATGACGTTCTGAGACTACAACATCATTTTTAGATTAAAAATTTTATGACAGTCTAAGATTAAAAAGATGACATTTTTAGATGCAAAAACATGTCATTTTTGAGATTTCAACATGACATTTTTAGATGCAAAAACATGTCATTTTTTGATATTACAACATGACATTCTCAATATCATAAAAATGTCATCATTTGTCAAAAATGTCAAAATCATGACTCTTTCAAACATATAATATTGTCATCTCCAAAAAATTGCCATCATGTCTCCAAATAATTGCCAATCATGTCTCCAAATAATTGCCAATCATGTGGCATTTTTATAAAATTGATAGATGAACATAATAAATAAACGAGAACGAAATAATTTAGAACAGTTGATATATAGAGCCTCCAATTTCATATCCAAAAGTTCCAAATCCAAAATTTCCAAACAATTTTTTTTTTCATTTTGAATCTAAAAAATCAACAAAAACATCAACAGAAAATTAATCTAAAATGCAAGAGGAGCAGAGAACAGAAGAGGAGAAGGAGAAGAGGAGAAGGAGAAGAGGGAGAAGGAGAAGAAGGAGGAGAAGGAAAGGATGAAGGAAGAAGGAAGAAGAAGAAACACTTACCTGGAGATTATTCAACCTCGGCGGTGGAGTGTGGAAGTGAAGATCGATGAGCTGCGGACATGGGAGGTAGAGATGCAGAGGATATCTGGGGCGATAGATGCGAAAGAGGAGGCAGAGGAGATCGGGAGAGACTGGCTGATCGATAGGAAGACGGAAATTTAGTTAGGGATTTGATATATTAGGGGTAAAATGGTAATAGAGAGTCCTATTTGGGAAATTTAAAACATTAAGTCCTAAGTTGGAATATTCACTATGTTTTAGTCCTAATTAGATCAATTTCTTAAAAATAATCTAATTAAAAACATCACAAATGTCTTTCACCAGTGGCGGAGCCACCCTTTGAAGTGTGGTGTCAATTGACACCACTGAATTTTTTTTCTCCATATATATATGTATATAATTAAAAAAAATTAAATTGACACCACTGGAAAATAAAAATTATGTGTATAAGCACAATCTTTCATAAATTGACACCACTGATACTAGATCCTGGCTCCGCTCCTGTCTTTCACAAACGTGTTCATAGTATACATATATCATATATGGCCTTAATGCGAAATCAATATGATTTTAGTGGAGTTAGAAATGATTGGCTTCTCTATATTGAGAATAAGACAAAGAATTTAAACTTGAAAACGATAATTTTACTGATATTGCACAGCTAGTGAAAAAGAGTGCCACAAGGGTAAGACATGGTTTAAACTTTAAATCTACGCGAACTACTTGGAACAAACCCAATTTTCGTTACTTGTTTAATCAAGCTCAGCTAGTGAAAAAAGAGTGCCACAAGGGTAAGACATGGTTTAAACTTTAAATCTACGCGAACTACTTACAACAAACCCAATTTTCAATCCACCAATATGTGATTATAGTTCAATCTACATCCTCTCAATTATGGAACAATGAGTTTACGATTAAGTTTTTGTCGATTTCAGTTCGGTCTCAATTTATTTGGTTTGAGAGATATTGTATCAAAGTAAAATTATTGTATTTCGGTTTGGTTTTGGTTCGATTTCAGTTCGGTTTGTTCTCAAATTCATATTACCAAAAATAACATTATTAGGTTTGATTTAGTTTGATTTGATTCGGTTTCGAGCCCGTGTGATAATATTAAAATCGACTGAATCGTCCGGTTCTGCTGAAATTTATAAAATTCAGACTGATGTGGCAGAATCGGTTGGTTCTGTTGATTTATGAATAAAATATTTATAATATTTTTTATTATTAAAAATAAAGAAAAAGTGACACCCAAATAGCTAAAATGATCATCTACAATAACTTCAGTCAATACATGCAGAATAATAATTTCAACCTTACTTTTTCTTCTTATTACACAATTCAGCGTGCGAACCCAAAAGTTACGTATTTGGTGAAAAAATTGATCGATAAGCATAATAGGCCAAAAAATTGGTTATCAAGTGAGCTTTTCATATGTTTATAATTTTATTTTATCACGTTCTATATTCTTGTATTTATTGTAAAAATAGTAATCTATCTCATCTTCTTGTATTTATTGTTTAAATAAGATGTGAAGAGAAATAAAAGATCGAAAAAGAAATAATGAAATATTACAAATTAACACATAAATTGTTTTACTAAGACTGATGACATTAAAACATCTAACATCTTTCAGCATTTAGAAAAAAGATCCATCTCTCACAAATGATAAGTTTGTAGTTAATTGACATTTTATAATACCACATAAAATATTCAAAGAGAACTAAACGAGTTGACGGTAAAAATATTGTAAAATTCATAATTTTATTTAAATGAATCATGTAAAATGTATATGGTATTCTAGTTTAACTTAAATTGATATAAACGTCATGTGGCCCATGTGTCATTGTCATTTATCAAAAAAAGGTAAATGGTCAAATAGACTCTTCTGATCTACTATTTTTAATCCATCACTTAAGCTCTTCTACTAAAAATATTATTATATAAGTACGTTCACTCTTAGAATAAAATCAATCAAACCATTTTGAGCTGTTGTAGCAGGTTAATTTTAAAAAATTAAATCAAGGATATTGATAAATCATATAAAAATTCATATAGATTTTAAAAATAATGTTGTAATAATATAAAAATAGTACAAATGTAAAAGTAGATAGAAACGGTTTTTAATATAAAAAACATGTTGTTAGAGCTCAACATCGTTCTACAAGCAGTCAATAAAAGGTTTAAGTGGGATATATTGAGGCGAATAAATGAATCTTATGTGGCATTTTTTTAATAAATGGTGCAGATCAGCTTTAAACGGTAAATTACCGCTCAGCAAAGTCATTTGCGCTATAAAACCGAGTTGGAGAATTTGGTTGCAGTTTTTTTTAAATTAAGAAGTCATTTGCACTATATCACCGAGTTGGAGGTCTTGGTTGCACGTTTTTATAGTTTAGGGGGTGATTTGCACTATTAGTGTTGATAGAGTATATGGGCCTGGACCCCATGGCCCACATACTCAAGTCAACGATAACCGGAAGAACATCCACGTGGCCCCCTCGGCCAGTGGGTCCGCATCAGCCAGGAACCAAACCGGCCCAGAAAACACATCTGGGCTTCCGGGGCCACGTTGGCCCATGGACCGCATCGGCCATGGGGACCGCATCGGCCAAAAGGCACCGCATCGGCTAGACTTCGCCCTGGCAGAATACATCTCTCTACTTTATTTACTAAGTATTGTACTCAGCCCATTAGTGGTCTTATTTCGCCCAAAGAATTATTGTAATGGGCCTCCTAAGCCCATGGCTAGGGGCCCAAATCCACATTTTTACCTATAAATAGACCCCTTGGGGCTAGTTATAGGGGGTTGAGAAATATAATTACTTATTTTCTCTCTCTAGCTCTCACTTCTCTCTAGAACTAATACTCTATCAAGTGTTAGTTTGATGGCTGATCTGGTACTTTGATAAACATGGTACTTGATAAAACATTATTTTTCATATCTAAGTTATTTATTAATATCATAAAGATGAACAATGAAGACAAATACAAAGTATTTTAATAAATATTACGAGTTGTTTGGTTTGGTTTACGATTTCTCGGTATAAAACCAAACCAAACTAAATCATTCGGTTTGAAAAAATGGTTATTAAATGGTTTACTTAAGTGTATTAAACCAACCCGAAGTATCAATTTTCGGTTTGATTCGTTTTGATTTGGTTAAGTCAAACCATTTTATCAAGTCCTACTCTCAACTAACTGTCCAATCGATTTTGGGGACCTGAGATATGAGATATCAATCCTTTTCTAAAAACCTTATAATTATGAATCTTGGTTAGTAGTCCTATATTGTGTCAATCTCTTGTGTGCATTTGAACTTGTACTCTTTTATAAAAGTAATGTACTTAATTTTTCAATGGTCATAAATACCCTACACCTTGCATTAAGTACTACCCCCGTCCCATTTTATGTATCTTCTTTGCTTTTGACACAATTTTTAATAAAGTGGTTGAAAAGGTAAAAGTTGTGGTTG